TTCAACACAAATAATAGTCTCGCTACCTTAAGTCTAAGTTAAGTCTGACACCAGTTCATTTATCTTGGCTTATGAAGAACTTGAGGGTAAACCCAGTAATGATTTAAAATTTGTAAAAGCAGCATTATATTTTAATAACTGTAAAAATAGAAGAAAACCAAGTAAATAATGCAGATTGCTGACATGTAAAGGCTGGAATGAACATGTAAATAAAGTACAATATAAATGTGATTAATGCCTGTTTATGTTTATTGCGTAATAGTTCGTGCAAAAAAATATTTAAAAAAAATAAAGTGCGATAGCGTCAGGGACCCCACATATTTTTAAGGGACCCACACATTTTATAAGGGGTGGGTCCCAGGGACTCCACATTATCAAACACTAATGCAACCCCTGAAGGTCATTGTCAATATCAACCAATTCCTGCAAAGAACAACCAAACAGATCATGTGCTGCTGCATCCAAGTACCCATCAGTTTCTTCCTGTTCAGGATTATCAGCAATATCCTGGTCTGAAGGGAAACCAGATTTCTTAAAACACTTCACTATGGTGGATTCATCAACATCTTGCCAGGCTCGCTGAATCCAGTAGATCGCCTCCAGCATGGTTGTTGACTTAACAGTCTCTGGACCAAACACTGATTTATCAGTGTCCATCTTTGTGATGATGTGTTGTAGTTGTTCCTTGCGAAATTTCAACTTCAGTGCCTGTATTATTCCTTGATCCATTGGGGGGAAAAAACTTCTGCTTCAGATTACGAAGACTGAAGTTTGGATGGCATGTGGCATTGTCCAGGAAAAGAATTGCCTTTCTCTTCTGTCCACATTCAGAAGTTTTCTGTCAAACTTACACAGCCAATCGTTAAACACTGCTGAGGTCATCCATGCTTTCTTGTTAGCGTTGTATGATACAGGAAGTGTTTTTGGATTAATGTTCCTGAAACATTGTGGTTTCTTTGACTTTCCGGTGATTAGTGGTTTCTCTTTTTCTCCAACCATATTTGCACATAACATCAGTGTTAAATGTTCTTTGGATTTTTCCCACCACTGCAGTCAGTCCCCTTGACATGCAGACTTTTGTCAGTTGTGTTTTTGAAAAAAAGCCCTGTTTCATCCATGACCTTCACAAATTGTTGGTAGCCGTTCTTTCCATTCATCCACCACTTTCACCATTCATCTTGCCAAAAACAATGCTGTGTTTTTTTTTATGAAATGTTTCCAACCAACCATTTGATGCCCAGGGATCTCGCCACGCAGAGCGGCGGTGGTCAGCCCGACCGGCACTCAAAATTAGCAGCCATCACAGAAAAACTACCGACCAGAACTATTGTCGGATTGTTATTACGTACTGACCGGCGAGCATCCTGCCAGTCAAGGATTATAACTGTAAACAATAGAAGTAGTCACATGATGTGGTAGCGGCTAGTCGATTTTGTGAAATTAGCCCCTCTTTGTTTGTAAGTAAATACTTTCTGACGATAGATACAAGTGGTGTTCTCACTGGACGAAATAAGCCGTTGTCACAGCGCCTTTTATTTGAGAACGTTGTTAAAATGCGTTTATGAACAGAATACGTCGTTGTAAAAGATGTGGACCAGATCCTAAACGCCGTTGTCACACCGGCTCTTGCACAACGCAATGTGTTGTGTGAAAACAATACGACGGCCAAACGCCCTCTATTGCCGACTTATTATTCTTGTCATTACGCAAGATGACGTCAGAGGTTACAGGTCAAGTGTTGAACTGGTCAAGAAACAAGATTACTGATATCTGAATAATGCAGAGAAAGCGGCTGAAAAGGGGTTGCACAGGACGTCATTGCAATGTCAACTGAAGATCAAAGCGTATAAAGTACAGAGAAGGGACTGAGCACAACAGAAGTTGTAGCGATTCGAAAACTGACATTTTGGGATGAACTGCACGAAATATTAGGTAGAAGGCCAGCATTCAATCCTCAAACACCGATGTTTTTACTAAGTAAGAACGCGAGCAGACAATTCAGCAGATTATTTAACATTCACATGTAACAAAAAAACAGTGTCAACATCGGCGTTTTTTAGACTTGTGAGAACGTAGCTACAGTCTTTAAATTGAAAGCTAAAATTCTTTCAAAATCAATTCTACCCGATATTACATGGTCAAAGCGAAGGTCACGATTTGTTTACGCTACTCAAGAAAAAGCAATGCGTTTATTGCGTGATTGGGTAAAATACATTTTAACTGTTATATTTGCGAATCATGTAAAAACTTCTTTCAGGGCTTCTTTTACCTTTTATTAAAAACTTCTAATCACCTCTTTCGAATACCATCATGCAATTTTCAACTGAAATCCATGGCAACACATCGTGCTATGACATCGCTTTATTTTCGCAGTGTAATTTTTATGATTACTACCATTCGGAAAATTTTGGGTTCAACTGGTATTACCATGCAGCATTCTGATTGGTTAATGGCATTCTTGAAATTTTGACCCATCGGGTCAAAAGACACATGCCGGTCAACTAATGGATCACAAACATCATAGGGGGATCTGTGTTTTTCAATCGCTCCCAATATATGTCTAATTTGACTTCAATTTCATATAAAAAAACTGACTAAATAAGAGGTATTATTGGTATAACCGGTGTATAACATCGTGAAGTAAGTTATGTTATGTCGTGACTTTGATGATTGTTTGGAAGTTTTATTTGTTCGTTCATTACTGTAAATGTAAACGTTTTAGAAGCTGATGGTACAAATAATAAATTACAACAATCCGCCAAATAATTACGTGGTTGATATTTTGAAGGAGAATTTTGTAGTAGATAAGATCATGAAAGTCTTGAACATATTCCAGGCTGAAACGTTTCTAATGCATTTCAATTAAGATATTAATATTGCTACAATAATTTATGTTTCTGTTTTCAGTCTGCAGCATTTGCATTTTGAGAATGTTTCATTTTCAAATTCAAACTCTTCTGAATTGTGAAACATAATATTTTGACTTCAATAAAAAAAAATATTTGCACTGTGACAGAGCTCATTAATATTCATATAACTCATTAATATTCATGAGCAACTGACACTCCCATTGGGCTGGCGAGATCCCTGAAAAGTGACCGCACTTTTGACTAATATCTGATGGTGGCCAATATAATTTTCATTGCAGACTTGGCTCTTTGGATACGAGTTAACAGACACTGTCATGGTGATCTGTGAAAAACAGATATATTTCTTGGCATCCAAGAAGAAGGTAGAGTTTCTGAAGCAAGTGGCTTCTGACAAGGAAAACACAAATGGCGTACCACCCATAACGCTGCTGACGAGGGAAAAATCTGGGGACAATAAAGTGAATTTTGAGAAGTTAACCGCGGCAATCAAGGAAAGTAAAAAGGTATTTATGTTTTTTGATAAAGTGGATTACTTTCATATGATTTTAACTACCAAATTTTACTACTTGATAATCCTGGCTTGTTTTAGTATGAAGAAGGTATATCTTTGCTTTATTTCAGGGTAAAAGCATTGGAATATTTTCCAAAGATAATTTTCCAGGTGCCTTTATGGATGGCTGGAGAAAAGCTTTGGATAGAGAAGGCTTTGATAAGGTATAACAACCTGTTTTGTTGATCTTAGTATGTGAGCATGATTTTATGATTTCTAGACATTACCCATGAATTAATTTGGATAGCGGTAAAACCATTCTAACATTTTTGAGTCTTTGTAGTTAGTGTAGTTACATGTGTGTGTGTCTGTTCCACTGAAGAACCACTTAATGAATTTTGATGCACAATGGTGAAACAATGTACAGGCCTGTTTAGTTATAGCATAATTAATGAATCTCCACTGATATTTCAAGTACTAATGATCTCATTTCAGTGAAACTTGGTACATAGTTGCTCTAAGACAATGCATAGACCTGTTATGTTTTGGTTCAAAATCTTGACCATATTAATTAGTCCCCGTTCCCAGCACACAGGAGTTTTTAGTCCCCGTTCGGACTTAGTCCGAAAACGGGGACTTATGTTTTGCCCTGCGTGCGTTCGTGCGTCCGTGATCACCTGTATCTCGAACATGCATGGACCGATTAAGTTCAAACTTCACTCATACATCACACATTATATGGGACATATGCACATGCATTTTTTTCATGATCCGATTAACGATAGCCGAATAGCGGCCATTTTAAGGCCGAAAATGCATCAAATTCGCACATTTTCACCATTCTGGACCTGGATCTCAGTTGTGCATGGACGGATTTTGTTCAAATTTGGTACATACATTAAACATAATAT